GTTTAAGGGTCACAACCCTAGTTTTAGTATTAAAGGAAGCCCTTAGGCCAAGGATACCCTGTGACAAATTTGACAATAATTGGCTAAGGGGTTCTTGAGTTATGGCCCATATTCTAAAAAGTTTACGCACACCGCAAAAATGGCAATAGCATTAGCTCTTTGAGCTAAAAAAGGGTTATTAATTGCTTCAATTGTTTGTTTTTTAATATTTAATATGCTGAATGAACAATTTTCACACAAATAATTAAATAAATAAAACATGCATCACTGAAAAGTGAATTAAGAGAGACTATATTAAAACACGTAGCCGTATCATTGAAAATGAGCAAGTGGATTCCATGCATGATGTGAATAATTCACAGCTCTTGATACTCCAGTTATCAAATTAAAGGGTAGGGGAAACATTAATTCAGATATCTCTTTTTTTAATGTGTATGTTTTACATGTAATTTAACAGCCATGTGATTTATCACAAAAACGTACAAAAATCCACAATGTACATTAACTTTTTAAGTTTCCTGTAGGAAAAATTATACCTTAGTTTGGATGAAGATTTTAACAGCTTTCACATTATTAAACAAAACTGAAAAACGGAAATGATTATATTCAGATGATACAATTTTTTATACCCAATGTCTACAAAACTCATTACAAAATTGTACTATTTATGAAGTTTCTTGATGAGCTTGCTAAAAAAAATACTAAAAATTTTATATTAAAAAAGAGGCCCATGGGCCACAATGCTCACCTGAGTTACCTTGGACTTGCTGTTCTTCACCAGACCCCCCCCCCCTCCCTTGTACAACTTAACCATGGGGACCATGATTTGAACAATTTAGAATCTGCACTATCCCAGGATGCTTCCACATAAGTATCACCTTTTCTGGCCAAGTGGTTCTTGAGAAAATGATTTTTAAAGATTTTTCCTATATATTTCAATGTAAAACTTTGATTCCCTATTGTGGCCCCACCCTACACCAGACAACCATAATTTGAACAATTTAGAATTAACACTTCCCCACAGAGCTTCCATGTAAGTTTCAGCTTTTCTGGCTCAGTGGTTCTTGAGAAGAAGATTTTTAAAGATTTTTGCAATATTTCAAGGTTAAACTTTGATTCTGTACTGTGGCCCCACCCTAGCCCCCGGAGACATGATTTGAACAACTTAAATTCTACACTTTAATTCTACACTATCCCAGGATGCTTCCAAATAAATTGCTGCTTTTCTGGCCCAGTGGTTCTTGAGAAGAAAATTTTAAAAGATTTTTCCTATATATATTTCAATGTAAAACTATGATTCCCTATTGTGGCCCTACCCTACCCCCCGGGACCATAATTTGAACAATTAAGATTCTACACTACTCCAGGATGTTTTCACATAAATAGCACCTTTCTGGCCCAGTGGCTCTTAAAAAGAAAATTTTAAAAGATTTTCCCTATATATTTCAATGTAAAACTTTGATTCCCTATTGTGGCCCCACCCTAACTCTGTGGGTCATGATTTAACAATTTAGAATCTACACTTTCCCAGGCAGCTTCCACATAAGTTTCAGCTTTTCTGGCCAAGTAGTTCTTGAGGAGAAGATTTTTTAATGACCCCACCCTATTTTTGTCTTTTCATGATTATCTTCCCTTGTGAGGTGGGTTGGTCCTTCATTTTTACAATTTAAACTCCCCTTCACCCAATGATGCTCTGTACCAACTTTGGTTAAAATTGGCTGAGTGGTTCTTGAGAAGAAGTTGAAAATGTGAAAAGTTTACAGATGGATGGACAGACAGACAGACAGACGAACAGACGACGGACAACAGGTGATCAGAAAATCTCACTTGAACTTTCACCTCAGATGAGCTAAAAGTATATTGTCGCAATAAATATATTTCTTCAAGTTCAGATTAAAAACTTAAAATTAACACTAATTATCTTTTATACTTGGAAATAAACATCCTCAAAGAACCGATGCGATCTCAATGATACAGGTAAAACACCTGAGCTGTTCAATAACAGTAGTTCACATGGCCATGGAGAAACAGATCCTAGACCTGCACCCCAATGAAAAACTGTGATGGTGTAACGTGAAAAGGATTAAAACACTGCGGAGGGGGCATGGTTAAATGACAAAACCGCGTTGCCCATACTGTACCATGATGGTTATAATAATGTTTGTTTGTTTGTTTGTTTGTTGTTTAACATCCCTCTCGAGAATATTTCACTCATATGGAGACGCCACCACTTGCCGGTGGAGAGCTGCAAATTTTGTCCTATACTTGGCACTAATATGGCCATTGAGCAGTGAGGGATCTTTTTCGTGCCAGCACCTACTGCGACACGGGACCTGGGTTTATACGGTCTCATCCGAAGGACCGGTCTCCACGTCCCACAGTGGGATTCGAACCCGCGACATAAGGATCAAGTCCTTACGCCGCGACTCTAGAGCAGACGCTCTAACCACTGTGCCACGCGGGCGACTGTTATAATAATGAGAAGAAACAGTAGAATCACTTTTAGCTCTTCCGTGACGATGGAAGACATTAAAAATAATAATAAAAACTAGAAATATGTCCATGGGACATGAATGCCATGCCGAGGGTATATTTGTAATGCAACATTAAAATTTGTATTAGTTTATGAAATTTGATGAGAATATCTTGAATAGTTTCTTTAAAATTGAAATCTAAAAAGTTGGATATAGATGATAAACTCTCAACAGATTATGTATGAGTGCATAAGCTTACATAAATATATCTAAATGGTTTCTTTAAAACTAAGCAAAATGCAAACGTAAGAAAAGTGAGGTCAAGGTCACAGGAAAGTTCAAGGTCAACATTTTTGATGCAGTTGAATAATTCTCACAAATACGTATCAGCACATAAAATTTGATAAAAATATTTTGAATGGTTTATTTAAAACTGAGCTTAACACTAATAATGAAGTTAAGGTCAAACGGAAAGGTCAAAGTAAAAAAAATTGATACAGTTGAAAAGCTTACATGAGTATGTATTAGCATATGAAGTTTGACAAAAATAATATGCATGTGTTCTTAAAAACTGAGTTAACAAATTGATAAAAGTGAGGTCAATGTCAAATGAAAGGTCAAGGTCAAAATTTTGATGCAGTTGAATTGCTAACATCAGTATGTATCAGCATATGAAGTTTGACACTAATTTAGGACAATTCGGGTCAAAAGTCAAAGGAAAGGTCAAGATAAAAAATGTTGATGTAGTTGAATAACTCTCATCAGTATGTATCAACATATGAAGTTTGATAACACTCTCATGAATGGTTACTTTAAAACTGAGCTAAACACTAATTTAAGTAAAGTGAGGTAAAGGTCAAAGGCAAGGTCAAGGTAAAAAAATGTTGATGCAGTTGAAAAGTTTACATCAGTATGTATCAACATATGAAGTTTGATTACAATATCTTGAATGGTATCTTTAAAGCTGAGCTAAACACTAATTTAAGAAAAGTGAGATCAAGGTCAAAGGAAAGGTCAAGGTCAAAAAATGTTGATGCAGTTGAATAGCTCTCATCACTATGTATCAACATATGAAGTTTGATTACACTATCTTGAATGGTATCTATAAAACAGAGCTAAACACTAATTAAGGAAAAGTGAGGTAAAAGTCAAAGGAAAGGCCAAGGTCAAAATAGTGTTGATGCAGTTGCATAGCTCTCATTGATATCTATCAGCATATGAAGTTTGGTGAAAATATCTTGGATAGCTTCTTTGAAACTGAGCTAAACACAAAGCGCGACGGAAGGACAGATGGAAGTACAGAAGGATGGAATGACGGAAGATGGACATGACAAACACTATATGCCCCGGCCATATTCATGACGGGGCATAAATAGTAGAATCCCTGTAAGGTCTTCTGAGAAGATTGAAGACCTAAATAAGAAAGAGTAGAATCACTACAGTAAAACTCATTTAGTACGAACATGGATACTGCGAATTCACAGATATAGCAAAGTTTTTTTTGATCCCCAGCTATATAAATTTTACGAATTCCTTATATGGATATAACGAATTACAGATATAAAAAGGTAACTTCACAGGTCCCTGGGACTTCGTTATAGCCGAGTTTTACTGTATAAGGTCTTCTGTAAAGACAGAAGACTTTAAGAAGAAGGTCTTCCATCTGAAGGGGAAGACCTTCACAAAAGTTGAAAGAAACAACAGAATAATAAGAAGATCTTACATTGAGACCGAAGACCTTAATAAACAGTAAAATTGGTAAAAGGTCTTCCCACTGAAACGATAGACCTTAATAATAATTAAAAGTGCATGTAGAATCACTATAAGGTCCTCTGACTGAAATGGAAGACATTAAATATATACCCAACTTTGTTTGGGGAAGATAATCATGATAACAGTTTGACTGCTTGATGTCCAAGAGGAAAAAGATATTTAAAAAATTGCTTTAATTTTAAGGTTTTTGACTCCAATTCTTAAGACACCTGGGAACATGAAATTTCCAAATTTTTTTCCTCTTTGTCCATAGATGTATACCAAAACTGATTGAAATTGGTTGAACGGTTTGAGAGATGTACAAGTGTAAATGCATAATGACAGACAAATACAGATATATAAGTGTGTTACTCAGGTGACCTATCAAGGTTATTTCTAAAACCTATCAGAAATGAGATGCTTTAATTACTGTAAATGTATTTTATTTGGCATATACGATATTTAGCAGAAATTGTTTTTTCAACAAATTAGCATATATTTGATTTTACGATTTCTGAACACCTTTTATACCAACATGCATACACAAGAATTTTAGCAATGTTCTTGATTTAGTGGGTGCTTCTTTCCGCAAAAGGTGCTTAATGAATACACTGCCAAATGTAATATGTTTACAGTATATTGATGTTAAGGTCTCTTAATTGCTAGTATCAGCAGTTTTCAGTTTTAATTTTAATGATTATATATAGACAGATACAAGAGAACAGATAATACACTAAACACATCATCCTGAAACCAAGCCCTTGTGATTCAAACCTTAGCATCTGCCTTTGGATTATCAAAGAAACCTTCTGGCAGAATATCTGCCATGGTTCTGGGTTTCTCCTCTTCTTCAGCCTCTTCTTTTTTCACTCCAAGGTCAAAGAAATCTAAAGAATCAAATACATAAAATGTTAAAGATTTGTAACTCTTTTAATTTTAATTGATAATCTATGTGTTTACCCCCTTTTCATAAATATCACACTTAAATGCATTTAATATTTCCTAATTGTTTCACAAAACATATTCTATTCCCAGAAATCGTTCATCTTCACTTTTTATTGACCTGTGCTTTCATCCATTGGACATTAAATCTCATTTGTCTGTCCCTCTATCCATCTGTAAGCCTGTTGCAGAAACTTTAACCTTTGACATAACTTTTGAATGAGAGAAGAGAGGGCTTTCATATTTCACATGTGCTTTACCTATGGCAATACCTTTCTTAACTAGAAAACTGACCAGTCAGCAAGGGCCCCACCAAGGGGTAGAAATATAAGGGTATAGCTTACAGAATGAGAATTTTACTTGATTGCAAAAATTAAAAAATATATGAAGAAGAATATGCAACAACAACTGTATTTATAAAATTTCAAGATATTTCCTAAATATCCAATGACCTGTAAATAGTATCCTTGTATTTACATGAGACAGTAAAAAACATCATAACTCAATTAATTAAATGTATATTTGAATGAGAATGAAGCATGTGTTGTATGAAATGCCAGCCTTCAGTCAATGCAAATATCACCAAGGCTTGACCTTAACTTCAAAACATGAATTGCAGACAAATGTGTTAATTAATCTTAAAGTGACAGATAAAGATAAGCCTCTAAATTTTCTGCAGCAGTCAAGATAATTAATCCCAGGGGATTAATTGTACTGCTCTCTGATCCTTTTCTTCTAAGTTTACAATGAGAACTTTTTCAGCAATGATAGAATGAGGTTATTATCCAAGTACCTGTTAAAATTACTAGTATTCTTGAATTTACATAAGGCAGCCAAACAAAAAAAAAAAAAATAAAGACCATAGTAATAATAAAATATGCTGTGATAAGTTAAATTCTTTCAAAAAACAAGATGTGTTTGTGAAACACTGATGCCCCTGTATGGCAGATTATGGCGAAGGTTAAAGTTTCTTAAATGCAAGTCAAAATCCAGGCCAAAAGATAAAAAAAATGTTGGTACCCAAAGAAAGGTCTTGTCTTGAGGAATATACCTGTGAAATTTGAAAGCCCTAGCTGCAACTGTTCAAAAGTTATGGCCAAGGTTAAAGTTTTTTTTAAAAGTAAGTAAAACGTCAAGGTCAAAGTCAAAGTTGTTGGTATCCAAAGGAAGGTCTTGTCACAAGGATTACATATGTGAAGTATGAAAGCCCTAGTACCAACCATTCAAAAGTTATGGCCAAGGTTAAAGATTTTCAAAAGTAGGTCAAATTCCTATGTCAAGGTAAAAGGGCCAAAGTGGTTGGTATCACTTTGTGATGTCACAAGGATTACATGTGAAGTATGAAAGCCCTAGCATCAACCATTCAAAAGTTATGGCCAAGGTTAAAGTTTTTCAAAAGTAGGTCAAACTCCTAGGTCAAGGTCAAAAGGTCAAAGTGGTTGGTATCCAAAGGAAGGTCTTGTCACAAGGATTACATATGTGAAGTATGAAAGCTCTAGCTTCAACCATTCAAAAGTTACGGCCAAGGTTAAAGTTTTTCAAAAGTAGGTCAAACTCCTAAGTCAAGGTCAAAGGGTCAAAGAAGTTGATATCCAGAGGAAGGTCTTGTCACAAGGAATACACATGCAAAGTTAGAAAACCCCAAGCACCAACTGTTCAAAAGTTATGGCCAAGGTTAAGGTCTCATAAAATTTTGCAAAAGTAGGTCAAACTCCAAGGTCAATTTCAAAAGGTCAATTATGATGGTACCCAGAGAGAGGTCTTGTCACAAGGAATACACATGTGAAATACGAAAGACATAGCTCCAACCAATCAAAAGTTATGGGCAAGGTTAAAGTTGACAACAGACAGACAGACAGGACAAAAACAATATACCCCCGGGATCTTTCGATCCGAGAGCGTAAAAAAATTCTAATTTCTGCTCATTAATTTTGAGTTCATCCATGAATAAAAGGGGTGTTCAGTTAGGCTATCATATTGTGACACTGTTGGATAATTATATAAATGGGATATATCCTATTGTATTCAGCAAAGTAAGAATTGTTTCTCCAGGGTCCAAAGTGGGGATTTTTTTAAGTAAGACAAATAACATAACTTTAGAGAAAATATTCCCTCCACAGGCCTTTTGCCCTCAGAGGGAATGTTTTCTCTAAACTATTCATCACCTCATCATCACCATCTCATTATTTATCTATTACATACTGCGATATTTGATACAAGAGGCCCATGGGCCTTTATGTTTGCCTGAGTGTAACAAGTTTTTCAGGATATGACCAATTTTGGCCCATCTGAAACTGACCTAGACTAAAAATCCCAAGATGTGAGACAAAATCTCAAATCAGTGAGTTTTGACGCTGTTTACAGAGATGAAAGAAAATAAAGAGAAGGATGCTATATTTGATAAATTATTGTAGAAGAGAATGGTAATAAGCAGTTTGGAAGTGCATTTTCTTTGAAAGTAAAAATGACTGCAATTCATGGGAGGGGGTATGCCATGTACTTTGGAGTTAAATACCTTGTGTTATTATTATGTTCCCCAAACGAAATTTGGGAACATACTGTTTTTACCCTGTTTCTTATTATCATTAGGCCTTCCATTCACCATGGAAGACCTAAATTGATTGTATTGTTTCTTTTTATTAGGCCCTCCATTCACAAGGGAAGACATTTAGTGATTGTATTGTTTCTTTTTATTATTAAGGTCTTCCGACTTCCTTCGGAAGACCTTATTGTTCCGTCTGTTTCCTACTATTAAGGTCTTCCAACTTCCTTCGGAAGTCCTTATTGTTTTCCTTCTGATTTCTATTATTAAGGTCTGCCGCCTTCCTTCGGAAGACCTTATTGTTTTCTGTCTGTTTCCTATTATTATTATTAAGGTCTTCCGATTTAGGTCTGTTTTCTATTATTATTAAGTCTTCCATTCTCAACAGAAGACCTTTAGCGATTCTACTGTTTTGCCTTATTAGTAAGGTCTTCCATCTTCACGGAAGACCTTATAGTGATTCTACTGTTTCTTATTAGGTCTTCCATTCTCAACGGAAGACCTATAGTGATTCTACTGTTTCTTATTAGGGTCTTCCGTCTTCATCAGAAGACCCTTCTATTATTGTACTGTTTCTTTTTCTTATTAGGGTCTTCTGTCTCCAACGGAAGACCTTTCTATTATTGTATTGTTTCTTTTTCACTTCTATTATTAGGTCTTTCCACCTTTCTGTGGAAAGACCTCTTGAAATGCTTATGTTTATTATTATTATTAGGTCTTTCCACCTTTCTGTGGAAAGACCTCTTGAAATGCTTCCGTTTATTATTATTATTATTATTCTTCCGCTACGGCTTTTTGATCCGAAAGACTTATCGAAAAACTTTATAGTTCATGATACTCGACTTCTTAAATTATTTCGAAAAACATGTGGCCAGCTATCTAACCTTTGACCCTTTCGTAGTTATTGCCCCTTTTACAAAAATCCTTGTTATCACTACTCCTTAGAAACCGTAAACCATAGAGGTATGGAACCTTCACCAATGTCTTTGCCTAATTGAGGGGACTCTTCAATCTTTTCATTGCGAAAGTATTCGTCAACCCCTTTTATGAGTTATTGCCCCTGAAAGTTTTTGATGTTTACGAATAATTAAAAATTTTCAAAACGATAAGTTGTAGAGACATGGGACCAACTCCATAAGATTCATTGACCTTTGACCTTAAAATATATGCAAAGGACAAAGGTCAGGGTCATTCAAAATATAAGAAATTAAGCTTTTTTTATAGCTCTTTTCTCTTTCAACATATCCTTAATATCTTTGCATCATTAATATGTTCTCTTAAAACTATTTCAAAGATTTCATACTTGTCCCCTAAGATTTACCCCTTTAAAAGTTATTGCCCCTTTTACTGAAAACCTTGTTATCACCACTCCTCCTAAACCGTAAACTGTAGAGACACAAAACCTTCACTAATGTCTTCAGGGTCTTTAGACACAACTTCAATCTATTCAGTGCTTAAGTATCCAATGACCCCTTATATGAGTTATCGCCCTTTAATGTCTTTGTGCTTACTAATTAAACCTTATAACTTTAAAACTAAAAGTCATAGAAGCATGGGGTCAGTGCAATGTGACCCTTGACCTTGAACATTTTTCAAAAGTTATTCCGAAAAACGACCCCCTGTGTTTGACCTATGACCTCTTACAAAGTTATTGCCCCTTTCGCAAGAATAGCCTGTTATCGCTACTCCTTCGAAACCATAAACCGTAGAGATACAGAACCTTCACCAATGTTTTCGACTACTTGAGAGGACTTTTCAATCTTTTCATTGCGAAACGATTTGTCGAGCCCTTTGATAAATTACTGCCCCTGAGAGTTTTTGATGTTTACGAATAATGACAAAATTTTCTAAACGATAAGTCGTAAAGACATGGGACCAACTGCATTAGATTTTGTGACCTCTGACCTTGAAATTTTTGTGAAGGTCAAAGGTCAAGGTCATTCAAAATATGAGAAAATTAGCTTTTTAAATATCTCTTTTGTCTTTCAACATATACTGAATATCTTTGCATCTATAATATGTCCTTCTAAAACTATTTCAAAGATTTCATTCTTGTCCCCCGAGCTTGACCCATTCAAAAGTTGTCACCCCTTTTGCAACAAAACCTTGTTATCGTTACTCCTCCGAAACCGTAAACCGTAGAGATTCCAAACCTTCATCAGTGTCTTTGACTCATTTAGTACTCTCTTCATTCTATCATTGCGAAAGCATTCTTTGGTCCCTTGTATGAGTTACTGCCCCTGAAAGTTTATGCTACTTACATTTAATGAACTTATTTTTAAAACGGTGCATCCTAGAGACATGGGACCAACTGTATCGGCATATTTGACCTTTGACCTTGAAATATAGGTCAAGGTCAAAGGTCAAGGTCATTTAAAAACATAAGAAATCCCTTATATATGT